CTTACTTTATAATCAAAAAGCTGAACGAAAGCAAATCTTGTTCACCATCATGTATCAATATCAAATATATTTATTAGAGCTTATCGAAATTTGATGAAAACTAAACAACATAAATTAATAATTTATAGTAAATAATATGAATATTTATAAATTAAAAATATTTATTTTGTAATTAAAAATTATAAAAATTAGTTTTATTTTGTATTTACAAATGTAAGTTTAATCTACTAACCGTTAAGTAAATAATATTAAAATTTATAAAACGATAATTTATTACCTCATAAACTAAAAATAAACTTGCTAATGAGCACCCTGTAATTAATGATGAAAATAAATTTGCAAATATTTCAACCAAGGTAATACTATTAAACATTGCTTTATCATTATAAATTATTAATTTATGTTGTTTAGTTTTCATCAAATTTCGATAAGCTCTAATAAATATATTTGATATTGATACATGATGGTGAACAAGATTGCTTTCAAAAATTTGCGTCAACCTAAATTAATTACAAAATTTTATAAATTTATACTGTCATAAATTATTCAATAAATTATACTTACATATAATGACAAGACCTGGTATATTTGCTAAACTTTTTAACAACAAAATACGCAAAGTTATGAAATATTTTGTGTTCACTCCTTGTGTACATATTTTGTAAATCATTAAATATTAAATTAAAATGTCTAAGCACGTAACTATTATCTAAAATAACTACCTTCCCATTAATTAAATCTCGAATTACTTTTTCATTAAATATTCCATTAGACTTGTCTGATTCTGATAAAGTAGCTAGATATTTATTATTTTGATCAACTATTTTATTAGTTAATTGATTACGCTCATCGTATTTATTAAATGTATCTTTCAGTGGCCTATTTGACATAACGAAAAGGTCCTTGGTATTTTCAATATCATACAATGTATTGACAATAGGAAAGTATTTAATATTGAAATATGTATTCAATAATAGCCCTCTAAATGAATTGGTTATGATTACCGCACTTATTATCCAAATTCCAGATATAATCGCAAAATTATTGATATACTTTTTGAACACATTAGACGATTGCATTGTAAGTGTTTTGAACACTTCGATGAGTGCATTGTGAGTATTTATTTTAATTTGTGTTGTAAATCGTATTATTAAAGCTATTAGAGCTGAAAGTAATATTATATAAATCCATACCTATATGTAAAAATCATTTTGATCAATAATATAATTTCGTAATGGTAATTTACCTACTTACTTTATAATCAAAAAGCTGAACGAAAGCAAAGTATCTAGTATCTTTTATAGATTTGAAGCCGCATACAATTTCTATTAAATAATTGGATTCTACGGGAATACCAATATAACTTTTATAATTTACAATAAAAATCGATGATTCATAATCCAAAATAAGTAAGGCCTATTTAAAAATATTTAGTTAAGATGTTAATATTTGTAACATTATTTACCTTATTAGCCACATTTATAAAATTGCTAGAAGCATCGAATTCAATTATAATGCTTAATTTGCAAGTAACATGGTGAATTATTGAAAAGAATACACCCAAAACCTCACGATCTAACCACTGTATAAATTAAGCTTGTTAAAATAAAATTTAAATACCTATTAAACAAATTTTACCATTTCATTTATAAGAATAATCTCTGTAAAATTACTTTCAGTAATATTATTACAATAATAAGTATTATGTATGTTTAAATTCATATACGGAATAACCATGTATAAATAATTAATCACAGATTTTATATCAACTAACATATTTGATTTTACCAATTAATATTTGTTTTAGAAAATATAATTAAGTTTATAGTTATTATTAATAACTTATTAATATATTCTTGATACCAAACTTAATAAATTTATTGATATATTGTAACCATGACAACAAATATTTAAAACAAATTCTTGTCACAGAAAATATTTCATAAAAATAAACTAATTATCTATAAATGCATGTAAATTATAATACAAAATGAAAAACAAAAATTATATTAGAAAACAAATTAATTTATGTACTTGAACTAATACATCTTAATAAAATAAGCCATTTATATAATATATTCATTTCTAATGATATGTAATGAACAAATATTAAAATTTCGTTAAGTATATTAAATTTTAGAGGTTATTAGTAATAGGAATATTAAATTTAGAAATTAACCAGAATATCATTTATTAAGACAAGATTATTATCATAAAAATATAACATATGCAAATAAATGCCTTTTTCTGATAATTTCTAAACTATCAATACAAATAATTAGTAAAACATTTAGTTTACTTATAATTATAATAATTAAAACACTTATATTTTATAAATTTTATCAGGTGCTTTCAGTTTTAATATTTATAAGTTAGTATCATAACATGCTACAATTTAATTTGATAAAATGTTAGTAAAACATAAAGTTATAAGCAATAAAATACAAAAATATAATACTTTATTATGGTTTTGTATATAATTTTCCCTCAAAATCATATCTACATTAATAGACTATTAGATAAGACAATAACTAAACTATAAATTTAGACTAATATTAACCAAAATGTGTCTAAAGTTTAATAAACCACCTGTCCTTCACTAATACTGTCCTTCGTAATAAACATCTTATTTACAGATACGTTTAAATTAATTGACATTCAATAGTTTTAAAGTATAAAAAATAAACTTATATTACATTAAAATTAAGTACAAAATAAGTATTACTAAATAATTATACAAAAAGTTATTCATTTGAAAATACAATTAGAAATATGAATTTATTTGTTGCAAATGTTTTTGCATTCATTTTGTGCCTAAATTACGCCAAAACCGATGACAACCCTATTATCACAGTTCGTACCAAAAACGGGTTAATCAACGGCCGCACCGAGACTTTCGACGGCACTATAAAACAGTGAAGAAAGGATTATAATTGGATTATCCGTTTTGGAGTATTAAATCTGTAACGGATAAAAATAGTTAATTCCATGATTTATATCAACATATTCTATTAAAATTAATTATGACATAAAATATGTTTCTAATTGCAGAACACCAAATTCATTCATACCACTGATAGCGCCAGTGAATATGATTATATGTACCAATTTACAGAATTTTAGGTGTGCGCGGGGGTTAAATTAATTTATTCGTTTACATAAACATAATATTTATTTTTGTAATTTTTGCATTTTTAAAGTAGCATTGTACAAAATTGTACGCATCAATTTTCAAAATATATGGGGGTCAGTGGGGGCTATGAAATGCACCATCGATATCATGAATCGCTTTCACAATGATAAGGTGGGACATGTCTTTTAGACTGATATTAATCAAGATGTGTCCAAAGGTTAATAAACCACCTGTTCTTCAATAATACTGTCCTTCGTAACGACATCTGAGTACAAAAGTACGTCATTACAGTATAAAGGTATTCAAGTATAAAGCATTAAGTATAAGAAGTAAACTTATATTACATTCAAAATTAAGTACAAAATAAGTATTACTAAATGATTATACAAAAAGTTATTAATTTGAAAATACAATTAGAAATATGAATCTAATTGTTGCAAATGTTTTTGCATTCATTTTGTGCCTAAATTACGCCAAAACCGATGACAACCCTATTATCACAGTTCGCACCAAAAACGGGTTAATCAACGGCCGCACCGAGACTTTCGACGGCAAACACTATAACCAGTTTTTAGGCATTCCTTACGCGGAACCGCCTACCGGTGACTTACGCTTCAAAAAGCCGGTGCCTATCAAACCGTGGTCTGAGCCCCGGGAGGCCAGCCAATGGCCTAACCCTTGCTATCAACACAACCCGTTTCTGGAGATCTTTCGTAACAAAGTGTACAGTGAGGACTGTCTGTATTTGAATGTATGGGCGCCCGTGGATACCAGTGCTGAGGTCGAGGATAAGGAGCAGCTTAAAGCTGTGCTACTTTGGATACATGGAGGGGCTCTACACTTGGGGTCAGTTATGGAGGACTACCAGAGTGGACACGTATTGGCCACTAAAGGGGATGTAGTGGTCGTGACCGTTGAGCATAGGTTTGTGAAATATGTTTTTAACTAGCTCACTTTTAAGTAGTTCCTAAATAAAAGTAATATTTTAAAAACAGGCAAATATTTGACCAAATGCCAAAATCTTCTTGCTAAGGTATTGGGTGGGTTAAAGTTACATGCATTTTTAATACTTTTAATCAATTTACTTGTTTATAATATTTATTAGTAAAACTGTAAATTATATATTAATATTAATATTATATTAATATTCTGTTTATTGCACACAAATGATTCAAATGTTAATAACTGGCGTAACTTTGAACTGTCATTTATTTTTAAATTTATATTCAATTTGTTATGCTTTCCCTCCCCTCCCACCACAGACTCAACACTTTCGGCTTCCTATACACGGGTACAGACGACGCGCCCGGAAATATGGGTCTCTGGGATCAGGTACTGGCCCTCCAGTGGGTCAACGATAACATCGAGCTCTTCGGTGGCGATCCCAATAGGATAACCATTTTTGGCGACTCAGCCGGTGGATGGTCTGCCAGTTTGCACATACTGTCCCCAATATCCCGTTCCCTATTCCAAAACGCTATACTAATGTCCGGCGCCTCCATTAACCGTAACGCTGGCGAACCGGCCCGGGATGTCATGCAAAAGTGGTTGAGAGGGGCGCAGGCTATCAACTGTACGGAAGGGGATGACATCCCCACAGAGTTTACGCCTAAACTCATTGAATGTTTCCGTAACGCACCGGCAGCGGTTTTAGCAGCCATTCCCTTAATGCCGGCGCTCATGGAAGGGATTGTCGGCTGGAATACTGTTGTCATAATAGATGGGGAGTTCCTCCCGGCCCTACCCTTAGAAATGCTTAATAAAGGGGACCATAAGAAAGGTCTGAACGTAATGATAGGCAGCACTCAGGACGAGGGCACCTGGATCTTGTGGTTCAGTGAGGACTCTGTGAAGTATAGCCCACAAAACCCGCCGCCCATTACCCATATGGAGGCCTACAACGAGTTAAGTAGGATTTCCCGTAAGATGTGGTCTAAAGAGCCCATTGACGGGGAAATGGTGTCTAAAGTATACTTCACGGGTCTGTCTGACGAGACCCCACAAGATATACTCAGACAAACGATAGGTGTGGCCATCGGGGACTACCTGTTACGCTGTCCGGGCATACAGTTTGCGCAGACTTTATTCGAGAATGATGTGAGCGATAGTCGTGTCTATCAGTACTACTATAACTTCAAGTTAGGCCGACCCAGAATGCTATGTTCCGAGTGGGCAGGTAGTTGTCATTACGATGACGTCCCCTCCGTGTTTGGAGTTCCCTTCTACCAGTCCGACCGTTTCTTAGACCGGGAACGGGAGGCATCCGAGCAAATGATCGACATATTCGCTACTTTTGCCAAAACAGGGTATGTATTCATTATTCTGACATTTTTATCAATGAGTTATCAATTTAAACGTAAAATTATTTATCACTAATCAATACAAATCGTGATAATTACTAGAGTTTATATCACAATACATGCCATTCAATATTAATGATAGATAAAAGTGTTGTGTAAATATACCCGTGGTAATCTAAGTGACACTAGTAATGTTTATTGATTATTAAACGACATTATTGTCAATTTATAAATAATTTATAAATTTAATTTTTTAGTTAACATTATTCATGAAAACCTTTATTTTTAAAAATAATTTATTACTCACTGATAGTCAACCCCCGTTACAGATTTAATACTCCAAAACAGATAATCCAATTATAATCCTTTCTTCACTGTTTTATAGTGAAGATAAAAAAGAGTTCATGTATTTTCTATGACAAAATCTAATGTAT